TATAACCGAGCTACACTTGTAATTATCTTAGAATGTCTTCTTGGGAGTTTGAACCATTTCCTGACTCCTCCTTGCCAACAAAATGGCATGGACACTATTCTGATGCTCTTTGTTTTATGCTTATTCTATTTTAATGATATATGTATAAATAAAGTAAAATTTCACCAGACTTGTTTGTTCATGGTTTTACAAACAGGGATGTGAGATTCACCTTGTTACTGTAGAGTTGATGCCCAGAGCAACTAGCACTGAGGCACACTGCAGACAGCCCTCTGCTGAGTTATGGTTCCATTATCTGGAAAAGGGCCTTCCAGAAACGAGCTACTGACTGACCCAGGCAGGAGAACTAGCAGGCCCTGGAGAAGAGCAGCAGGAGTACCATAAGCCAAGTGTCCTTCTCTCCTCACTAAATACCATGTGATGTTCAACGACAATTCAAACTAATGTGGTGTGATTCAAGTTCTTTCCCTTATGAAAGATAACTTAATATGCCATACAGTATTTGTAAAGAGCACAGAAGAACTTTAAATCACACGTTTAGTATAGCTCAGAAGTTGATTATAAAATGAAATCACCACTATTACTTCATAGCTGACGTTTACATTTTTTAAAAGCAAAACATTACCAAAATTTGATTAGCTACTCAGCTACCTGGATTTGGGAGGGAAGCTAGTTGTCAAAATGTATGATCTACATTAGCATCACTTAAGTATTTGTCTATAACACATCAATACTGGTGGTTCTTAGAAGCTATTAGTCTATGCAATCATGAGGTAATAACATAAAAACTGCTTTCATTACATAAAAATAATTTTAATATTATAGAAAAGATGAGCATTTAATAGTTACAATGAAATACAAACTATTTCTATGCACAGTAAACTTCCTGTAAAAGAACAGCTAATCCTTCCCCAGGTTCTTAGGATTTGGAGCAGCAGTTTATAGAAAGTAACCATTCTTTGGAAACACCCAAACCCCAGGAGTGACTCAGGGAGCAAAGATCCTAAACTGTTCAGTGCTTTGTGATATTTCCCTAGCCCTGGGCAGTCTCTAGCTACTGTCCCCCAAAACTGTCTTAACCATCATCCAACTGGGATGACCATCTGCCTTACAAATAAATGTAATGTTTTTTCCTGAATACTGTTGTGTCTTTATCTGCCTTAGAAGCTGGCAATTAGTGACTTTCAATAAAGTCATGATTTAGAAAGTTTAAAACCAGAGATTTTCCACGTGGGAAATTTCGAATTACTGTCATTGCATAGTCACCAATTCATTCTAAAGTTTGACAATACGTTAGCAGTCGCATTGATCCAGGAGAGGAAAAGGCACTTAATACTGCAGTTTCCAGAACATGATTTGCTTGTCATCTCCTCCTGTGATGAGGCTGCTGCACTGCTCATTCATCCACAGACAGGTCACAGCATCTGTCAGAATGACATTTTGGTTCAGTAGAATGTGGATCAGAAAGCCCCTAGAGACATATTTGCAATTCATGTACTAACAAGGGTAATAAGCCCTGCCTTGGCTTGCTCTCTTCCTGTCATCTTTGTATATATATAAAAGTACTGCTTGTTACAAAGAAATAATGTGGACTAAGAAATGATGTGCATATCTAAAGCTAAAACACCTGGGAACTGTGGCTGCAGAATAGAATTAATATATTTCTCTTGACAAAACAGGTATAATACAGGCAAAAGTCAAGAGCCACGAGGAGGAACTGGCCTCAATATGCTTGCTCACTTGCTTCCTTTTCCACTGGAAGGGGTGAAATGTCAGAAAGGCAGCAAAAATCTGTGGTTTTTAAGAAATAACTATCCTAAGCATAGTGACAGGGAATGGAATAGAATGAGGTGGGAAGTCAATAGATAAAAGTAATACAAAGAAAAAAAAAAAAGTCTTTTAAAAATGAACAAAAGGAAAACATATAAATGTCAGCAAAAACTATAGAGTGATTTCAAGGCATACTAAGTGCAAAAATGAAGGGGGCAGAAACATTATACTTTATAAATTCTACACACAAATGCCGTCCTTAAAAGAACACACATGCATATTCACTGGTAAAAATAATCCTGGAAGAACTGGGCAATAAAGAGTCGTCGAGTCAGGGAAGACTGACTGATTACTTTTGATTTGTTTCTGTTTTCTATGTGTGTGTATTTTGAAAGTAATAATCAAATACTACATCTTTAACTGTTGTTGGTACGTGCTGTTGAGTCCGTTCCAACTCACAGAGAGCCTATATAGGGTTTCCTAGGAGTAGAGTTTGAACTACCAATATTGCAGTTAGCAGTCCATTGCTTATCCTACAGTATCACATGAGGCCTCTAATTTTCCATCCTGAATTTACTGTAAAGGTATCTTTTGTCCCTAAGAAGACTATATGTTCCCTGATGGAAGAGTAAGGTGAGACAAATGACTGGTAATGGTGTACCTGTGTGGCCCTTAATTCTCTCACTGATTTTTGCTCCAAGGAGGTCCCAAACAAACAGGTCACCAGACTGACTTCCGGATAAAACGGAATTTCCATCCCAGATAAAGCACCTGCACGAACAATTGAGAAATATTCCTTTCAGCATGAAACATTCACAAGCATGTCTAAGCGTCCTCACCTCTAGGGACCCAAGGAAGTGTACCTCTGTGGCTCTTGTGAAGTCAGAGATGAGATAAGCATGCCTGTCTGCACATCTATGACGTTAAGGCAGCCATCTTCTCCTGTACTCAGGATGTGGCGGCTGTCTAACACAGAAGACAGGATACAGGGCAGAGCTCCAGAAAAATGTCTTCAATCGTCCCAAGACTTCATTTCTAAACCCAGTGGCTTAATCTCCACTTTCACTGTCCTTGAGCTTCTTGTACTTATACTTCTCTAAGATGCTGGGATGGCATGTTGGAATGCATTCAGTTAACACCTTTACAAATTAATTTCTCCAGCGAGTTGAGTAAGAATAATATCCATGACTGCTTTTCTACTAGGTACAAATGTCAAGTACAGTGTGTTCTGACATGAAGCCCCTTCAGCTTTCAGCAAAATGTCTTTCATCAGCACGTAATGTTTTTCTTTCTAAATTTTTATTTCAAAATAATATTTCTAATTCACCCAGTATCCTTTGTACTAAAAAGGCTAATACCTACCTGGGCTAAAAGCAGTATCACACACAGTTCCGGAATGGCATGGTATCTGGTGCAACATGGTGGCAGTGGTGAGGTCCCAAATACTCACTGTGCCTTCTTTGGTGCCTGAAGCCAAGAGTGTGCTCCCAGCATTCAAACTGATTGTATCTACCTAAGAAGGAAAACACTGATAAGTGCTCCATTCAGATTTACGGTCATTAGCTTTGGCTAATCCAAATAATGATATATGTTAACAATCTACTGTTTGTATTTCAGTATCCTACTAAATGATGACTTAGTTAAAATTAAATTCTTCATATGCTATCAAGTACATGTACAAATGGAAATAAAGTATTCCCAGGGTAAAATAAAATGGTTGTCTTAGGATAACCTAGGCTTAGGATAGTCATATAGAAAATAAACTCCATAACTGTACTTGGAGTCAAACTGTTTGAAACACAGCAGTTACTACTAATTATGAGTAACAGTTTGATTGTTTGAGATTTGTGAAGGAAAAAATAGGCATATGAGGGGGCTTCAAAAAGTTGATGAAAAAATGAAATGTAAAGATAACAGAATTTTCCACAAACCTTTTGAAGTCCAAGCCCCTTCCTATTTGAAAACCTTTTGAATTAATTATTTACTAAGTATATCGCTTCCTTAGTCAATCTGTATAGGCATCAATTCAGGAACTTTATGTGTGAGCAGTCTGTAAAAGTACACACTTAACACTGTAGCAGTGTGACCCAGTGAAAACAATGTGAACTAAGAACATTTTATGAGGCTGCCATGTTCAGAAAGTCACCATCCCGTGGGTGTCCCTGTCTAGCTACATGAGCCCTTTGATCTCCCATGTCAGGGTCTGTGTGGCGCTACAGGATAAGCACTGGACTGCTAACCACAAAATTGGCTGTTCAAACCCAATAATAGCTCCTAGGAAACCCTATTCAGGATTGCTAAGAATTGTAACCAAACTGTCAGCACTTCAGCAAACATGAAGTAGTTTGAGGCTACTAAAATATTTGTGTCACATTTGGAAATTGTTACTTTGGAAATCTAGTTGAATAGTACCTCAATATTCAGGCAACATATAAAGAAGCAAAATAGAGAAAAAAAAAAAACAAACTCTACTTGGAAATCCAAGGATTCAACCAAAAGGAGAAAACCAAGATTTAGCTTAAGATCTCAAATAATCAAAACAAAGCAGAAGAAGACATACCCCAAATAAAACCAAGAAACCACCATCAGCCCCACCAGGATTTCCGAGGTTGTTTTCTATGTAGTGATGATTGCCCATACTTACACTGACTTCATGTTCCAGCTCTGCAAGCATGTCAAAGTGGTGGCGTTTGGTGCCTGTCATCTCGGCAGAAATGCCAGCCCACACCTAGGATGGGACAGAGTACTGAGAGTATTTTCAAACACTTAAAAGTATATCTATGAAAGTGTTTCTCACATGTTTAGGAAAAACTCTGTTGGACAACTTCCATATAACTGTCCATCAAATTAAATTGAATAATGTTCCCAGCACCTTCTCCACAATAATCAGGATTTCATTCCCACAATAATTAGGATTTCGTGCCACATGCTTACCTAGAGTTGATTGATTGCTTGTACCCAAATCTATGGAAATATGCTGTACTTGCTATTATAGTAATATGATTTTAATATCATGAGGACTAAGGAAATAAGAGTGCAAAAGCAGCAGAGTGTCTTTTAATGTTTTAAAAGACTCGAAAAGGCAAGTCACAGATACATATACATTAAAATTAGGAAGAGCCCAAACACTATGAAAGAATTTTGGGAGGGTGGGGTAGAGAAGGAAAGAAACAGAATACACCTACTAAAGAATTAAAGATTCAAGATTCATGCTTTCTTTTACATAAATGAAACTTGGTAACCAAAGATGATGAATAATTCGCTGTGGTTTAAGGAAGCTATGAAAAATTCCAAAGAAAGCACTGAGCATTCTGATGATTCTCATGATTATGCATGTAAGTTTTAAGTGAAAATAAAATGCTTGATAAAGTATCTTATCAATTTTCAACAATTCCTCACTTTAACGTGCAATTTTCCGATTAACTAGCCAACTATTAGTCTTAATCATATCAGATACAGAAGGTTTCTACTATACATTTCTTTATAAGTCTGCTATCAATCCCCAGGTAAACACAGTACAAAGACCATGGTAACTTTATTGTATCAGGATGTGCTTACACATTTTGTGGAAAACAGTGAAATGACTATTGTTGCTTAGTGCCATCTAGTCAGTTCTCATGCACAGTGATCCTTTATAGGGTTTCCAGGGAGTAAATGGTGGCTTTGAACCACAGACCTTGTGATTAGCAGTCCAGTGCTTATCCTACAGTACCAACTGGGACTTCAACAATAGGTAAGGGAGTGTTTTATGTCTAAACATTTTAAGTTAAACATTATTTACAGACCTTCACTGTAGAGTCCCATGATGCAGAATATAGCCTGTTGTCATGCCAACAGATTTTACTAACAGCATCATCATGTCCCATTAATGTGTCCTGGCGTCTTCCAAATGCTATGGAATAAAAATAGCTAAGATAAAAGATAATGAGAACTATTGAAACAGGAGTCCAGCCTCATTATTTAATTCTATAGCTATTAAGACACACTAGAATTACAAATTAACTTATTCTCATGTGATTATGCCAAAATATTCAAATTTGAATTTAAAACTGGGACAGATGTAGTTCATCTGTGTTTTCACTTCAATTTAAAACTCAGAAGAAATTCAAGTACAATTAGAGAAATTTTTAGATTCAGTTAATCAAATTCCAATTCAACAGAATGATCCTGATGCCTACCTAGTATTTTTTTTCCCTCAGAAAACAACCCAGGGTTCAGGTAATGGAACAGTCTGTCCTTGAATGCCAAGTGTCCACAAAAGTACTCAAATGGAATGAGAAACGAGCATATCACAGATACATACATGTTATTATCCCACGAAGAACTTACGACAGTGGCATCTCCTGGTAGAAGTAAACAAGACGATAAAGCCTGAAACACAAATGGTTCAACATTTATCACTGACAATAATTAACAAGTCCTTAATCTAGCAAAACTATCCCATAAATTTCCAAAACATTAATGTTCAAATTCTATGTTGTTCCTCCTTGTATTTACTTAGATTTTCTCAACTGGCTAACAACTCCAGAGTTTCTTCCCAAAGATTGGGAAGCATGTCAAGTTTATTATCAATACAGTCTGAAGACTGTCATGGGTTCTGGATGGCCCTCACCCCACTGGGTATTTACATGGTGTGTACAAGTTTCTGTTAACGCAGTGATTGGGGGCTGAGAGTGAGCCCATGTAACATATTGACTAAGGAAAACTTCCACAATTCTTCAGGTAATTTCAAAATCTTTTGTATGGTTTACATTTACAATTTTTTTTTTTTCTCAGAAGAACTGGTATACTGACCCTGTAGGACGTAGTAGAGCTGCCCCATCAGATTTCTTGGATACCACTGGACTGCAAGTTCAATCTGAACTGTAAGACTGGTGGTTCAAATTTAACAGCCATTCATCAGGAGCTCTATACAGGGTCTCCTGTATGAGTTGGAACCGACTTGATGGCACTTAACAATAACAACCATCTTTATGGGCACATACCACCGGCTCTTTTGTGTTACAGAGTCACTGGTACATTTGAACCATCAATCTTTTC